GCTCTGCATCCTCGGATCTTGGGTACGATTGTGAGCGCCGCCGCTCATAGTCCTACAAGATGTAGGATTGCGAGCGCTACTGCTCGCAATCGGAGGCATGTTGCTAGGATTGCGAGCAGTGCTGCTCGCAATCCTAGACTTTGCTCGGATTGCGAGCGCGCTGGTAGTAGTCGTAGGCGTCACCAGTCACCTTGGGAGCGGAGCTGCTCTTAGTCCTAGAAGATGTAGGATTGCGAGCGTGGGTGCTAGCAATCGCACAGAGATGCTACGATTGCGAGGAGTGCTGCTCACAATCCTTCGACTTCTAGGATTGAGAGCGAGGCTGCTCTCAATCCTTCCGGTCTAGAAAAGAAGGTTCACCCACACCACGGGGCGTTGTACGTTTTCTTCATGCCCGCAACTGGCCGCATCGCCCAGCCCCGACGAGTCGTTACATCAGCATGGTCGTCGTCCAAAACGATCAGGCACTGGTCGAGCTGCCCAGCTCCCTGGTCGACCGCGCAGCGCCGCCTCACAATCCTCTGCTGGAGCAACCAAACCCGTATGCCAAGCTCGGCCAACCAGACTCCATCGTGGCAGAGCCTCCTGCCATCGAGATCGGCATTGAGGGAAGAGCGGCCGGCTCTGCCAAGCTGAGGCTCATCAATGCATCGGGAAAGCCAGCGCGCATGACCATCCATGCTCCCTCCACGCCGCACTTCAAGCTCAAGCTCCGCAAGCGTGGCCTCGTGATGCCCGGCATGGCAGAGGAGGTGCTCGTTCTCTTCACTGCCTCCGACTCAGAACCCCGACATTACCACGACCAGATTCGGGTGCAAGCCGAGACGGGAGAGCTATTGATCCCACTTGCGGCCTTTCCGACGGCCTCGCCCACCGACCTGGGCATTCCGTCTCTGATCGACCTTGGGCCTGTCACGCTCGGATCGCACGTGAGCCACTCGGTGCCGTTGCAGTCACCAGCCAGCGTTGGGTTTGAGATCAGCATCCTGCGTAGAGGCTTCGTTGGGACCGAGCTCAATGTCGAGCCACTGACCGGCACCATATCGGCGGGCGGAACAGCTTTCACAATCGTCTATTCGCCTGTGCGGCTCGCCACGGCACGCATGCTGATAGAGCTGCGCCTCTCGCAGCCAGGCTTCACTGCTCGACGGATCGAGGTGGTTGGCTCTTGCGCACCGGGCCATGTTCGCCAGGAGCACTTGCCGACGCTCTCTTCGCTCGCCTCGCTCGCGTCTGCCGGCTCGGAGCGCGGCGGAAAGCACGCCCAAGCGCTGCCACAGGTGCTCAGCTCGAGCTCAGCTTTTGAGGATGCCCTCGAGTCGGAGCCGCCCACCCTGACGGCCTCAATTAGATCCGTCCTGCTTGCTCGGCCGACGCCCTCCTCCGTCGCTGCGGCAGCTGCGGTGACAGACCACCGAGGAAGGATTGGAGGGGATGGAGGCGGCGGAGATTCGGTGTCTCGCGCCATGGCAGCCTCGCGTCGCGAGACGGTGGGAAGGCGGAACATTCCGGTCAAGTACCCGGTCGACAGCGAGATGATGCGAATCCACGCGCTTAAGGAGACGCACATCGACGGCTACAGTATCCCCAGAGACCTCGACTGCCAGATCCGCGTGAACGCGCTCCTCAACCGGCAGCGCGGCAAGTTGCCTGTCGCAGAGCTGCGCAGCGCCATCACGCAGCAAAAGCTGCAGGCGGAGCGCGACAGGGAAGCAGTCGAGAAGGTGGCTGCATCCTCTCTCGAATCGCTACTGCAGCGCTCACTCGCCGAGAAGGCCGAGGCCGCGTTCACGCTATTCGAGGAAGTCGACGTTGATGGCTTGGGGCGGATTGACGCCGCTCAGTTCTCCCTCGCGCTGCCTCTGCTTCGGGTTCCAGGGGCGTGCGAGGCGGACATGCATGCGCTATTTGCGACAATCACGGACGGCGCAGAGACGCTGGACTACGAGAAGGTGAAGAAGCCACAGCGCAGGCTGCAGCAGGCCTCGGTTCAGATCGGCGCCTCTGCCGACGCTTCCGCCCCGGCGGGGGAGTTGGACCTGGCGCTGCAGCCGGCGGAACGGAGCCGTCAGGTCAAAGAGATGCTCTTCCTCCGGCAGATGACCGATCTGGAGAACTTTGAGAAGGCGAAGGAGATCAAGGCGCTCGTAGCCAGGGGCGCCGAGCCCTGCCCGACGGCCACCATTGAGGCGACGCGCACCGCGCGCGAAGCCTTCTACGTGAGCGAGGATCGGGAGAGACGGCGCCGTGGGCGCGAGCGCAGAGAGGCGGAGCTCGGCGAGAAGGGGCGCGCCACGATCTCGGACAGCGTCGTGGCGGCGGCAAAGGGTGCACAGCCGACGTTTGACATCTACTCGAACGACTCCTTTGCCTTGCGTGAGCAGGCACTCGCGATCTTCAAGAAGGGAGTCCGGACGGCGCTCCTTCAAAGACGCGCCGCCGACCGGCTGCATTGCTTCAGCGCGTCCCTTGAAGAGGCCGGTCTTTCCCTCAAGGATTGCCGCAGCTTGGTCTCCTCACGAGCGCCCACAGCGAGAGCTGATGCTGGTCGCTTTGGCGCACCGGTCCCCACACCAACCCTCTCGCTGTCGGGAATCGAACCTTTCGCCTTCCCGACGGCGGACACGGTGTCGAATCGTGATCGCGATGCGCCTCTCGACGTTGCCGTGTTGCCGCTCGAACCGGCGCAGACGTTCCGTCGGTTCGCATTGCGCGTGCCACGCCGATACAAGGAGATGGGGTACATGGAGCAGCTTTTCACCGCTCCCGGCGATGCCACGCCCAGCCCTCTTGCGACGCAAGAGATGCGGGTGGGAGCGGCGTTCGAGGCGAGCACGCCGCAGCCCACGGGGGACCGGAAGGCTTTTTATCTGGAGCCGATGCCGCCGTCCCTTCTCACTGTGAGACACACCTCCACTCCAGGGGCTGGAGGGGACGGCCAAGCGAGTGCGACCGCCGGGACAGAGAGCAAACTTTGGCGGAGCAAGCCACCGCCAAGGGTCTACACGCCGCCGCCGCCGCACGCAGAGACGGATGTGGAGTTTCACCTGCGTGCAAGGCCAGTACCCGCAAATGAGGCGTGGTTGCACGAGCCGATTGGACTCTCCTCTAGCCGCACGCTGCTCTTGCAGGAGACCATCAGCTCTCGCTGTTCACCGCGGAGGGGGATGTGGGCCGAAGCGGCAGCGCCTCTCCCGAAGCTCTTGAGCGGAGCCAGCAAGCAGGATCTCGACCACGAACTGTCCGACGACGAGTCGGACACGGATATTGAGCTCCAGGCGCCGACAGAGGAGCGGCTGCGGCAAATCTTTGAGCTGCCTGATGCCGAGGGTGAGGGGCCGGCCGATGCAGACCCTGGCGCCACTCCCGCTGCTGAGGTGGCTCCGAGCTCATTCGCCGCATTGGCTGAGGCGGCCGAGGCGGTGCTCGTCAGCCCAGAACGCATCATGCCCGTCGACCATGGCTCTGAGCTCGCCCGCGCGGAGGCCGCATTGCAAGCGGACCTGGCAGCAGCCCAGAAGGCAGAACGGAGAAAGCTGGGCGAGGCGCTGGACGCCTTGAACACGCACATCGAGGACCCTAGGTATCATCTCGCGTGTCGGATCTGATGTGGCCAGCACGTGACTTGAGCATTTTGAAAGATGGGGTTTTGCCGCATAGACTATTAGAGCCCATAGAACAACCGTGAACCGAAGGAACTGCGCTAAAATATGTAGAGCCGTAACACCTTGACCTAAGGTCCTACGGCTTTAAAACACACCGCCGGAGGCTCACCGACACGCGACACCGTGTGCGGACGGCTCAAACCAACCTCAAGAGAGTGCGATGTGTTCTACGGCTTTATTCGCCTTACCGTTGTTGATAGATCCACAATTTGTTTGGAAACTCTATCCCATGTAACTGGGACGTGAGACCCACAGAGCTGTGTCAAAGAATTCAGGCCACGATGCACACATGCTGGTTGCAGTCACAACCTGCCGCGCACACGCCGCCTGCCTGCGATTCCCAACCCATGCCAATCCTCACGTCTGCGCCAAGGGTGCGCTTCCCGCCCCCCCTCTGCTTCCGCTCATACGCGGCTCTCAGCGCGCGGACGCCCTCGTCGAGGCCCGCGCCCGTGCAGACAGCGTCGATCACGTCGCCTAGAAACAGAAACCGCGTCAAAACCCCCGAACCGGCAGCATCGGTCACGTCACACCGAACAATCGGTCACGTCACACCGAACAGAAATCCCTGTGCGGTGGCGGCCCTGTGCCGTTCTCTCCCCCCCCCCCCCCCCTCTCGGCGTGTCTGTCTTCTTTCTGTCTTTGTCACACCGATCGAGATCGAGGGGCGCCCGCCCGGGGCAGACCGCAGCCTCTCCAGCGCCTCGCCAAAGGGTTGCTGCCGGCTCGGCGCGCCTAACAAAGCACCGCCCTTGCCGCGAGTCCCACCGCGAGTACGCTGTCGACCCGCTGCTGTGATGGCGCGCTGCCGCCTCCCGCCGCGCTGTCTACGCTGACGAGGGCGCATCGAAGCGCCCGCGCGAGAGGCGCTCCTAAAAAAGAAACACGCGCGGTTAAAAAAGAAATCGAAGGGGACAGTCGGCCCGCACGAGAGGCGCGCGGAGCTGCTCCCCGCCACCGCCACCGCCCTCGCCACCCTCGCCCTCGCTGCCGCCGCCCTCGCCGTCAGCGCCCTCGCCGTCAGCGCCGCCGCCGTCAGCGCCGCCGCCGTCAGCGCCGCCGCCGTCAGCGCCGCCGCCGTCAGCGCCGCCCCAGTGCGAGCCGGCGCCGAGCGCCCTCGCCGCCGCGACGAGGGGGCGGCCGCTGCAGAGTGCGCCTGTTCACGGGCTGTCGTCTCCTCGGTCGCCGCCTCACCTTCTCTTGCCCGGTGCGGGCGGCCGCTGCAGAGCGCGCCGACGACGTCCGACATGGAGAGCGAAGGCGGGAGCGGAGGCGGGAGCGAAGGGGGAAGCCCTGCCTGCGGGTGCGGTGGCCGCGGGGCGCAGAGAAGGCAGACCCCGCCCTCGCCCTGCGCACCGCCCTCCTCGCCGCCCTCCGACGCCCTGCCGCCGCCCCCGCCACCACCTCCACCGTCGCCACCCCCGCCGCCACCGCCACCGCCTCCGCCGCCTCCGCCGCCACTACCGCCACCCCCGCCGCCACCACCGCCTCCACCACCAGCCTCGCCGCCACCAGCCTCGCCGCCTCCTCCGGCGCCCGCCTCGCCTCCCGCCCCGCCAAGTCGCTCCAGATCTCGGGTAATCTCGGGCAACCTCGGGCTCCCCCCGGCCCCGCCAACTCGCGCCACAGCGCCGCTGAGGAGGGCGAGGTCGTCGCCTGCCGACTCGGACAGCTGCTCGGTCGGGTTGACCCACCCGCAGGCGGGCTCCTCCGCCGGCCGCAAGTCCTCGGCGGACATGGCGCGCCGCGCCGCTCGGATCAGCGCCGAAGCGAGCAGCCGGACGACCGCCTCGCGCACTCGCTCAGCGGTGTCCTGCGCGGCCTCGAGCCAGGTGTTGATGGAGAGAGAGTGGCGGCTGGTGGTGACGACGGCGTGCCACCAGTGCCGAGGCACGAAGAGCGTCTCGCCGGCGCACAGCTCGACCTCGTACAGCCAAGACGAGGGGCGGGAGGAGGGGCAGCTCAGCTGGGGGCAGCTGCTGCGCCCGGAGTCGTCGGAGCGCGCAAAGACCGAGCTCTCCTCATAAGGCACACGGGTCGGCCGCAGCGGCCACGCCGCGTCTCCGCCCCGTTCCCTTTCGCAGCCCGGCGGCGGGCTCAGCCGCCAGCGCTTGGCTCCGGCACACTGCGCCACAAAGTTGACGCCGTACGCGTCGTAGTGCGCCGGCGTGCCCGCGCCCTCTGAACCCAGCCACAGCGTCGAGCGCGAGCCGTCGGCTGCGTGCGAGTCGGCGCCGCTCGCGACGACTTCGGAGAGGTGCGCGGCGGCGAGGACGTGCGACCAGTCCACTGCCGCGAGCGCGTCCGGCTCGCTCGCAAACAGCGCCGCCATCTCCTGGTAGTCGCAGTAGCCGGTGTATTCGGAGCGCGGGAAGGCACTCAAGTTACCGCCGTCAAGTCCCGCCCTCGAGCCACCGCCCTCGAGCCAGCGCCCAAACTCGGCGAGCGTGGCCTGCACGTAGACGCCTTCGCCCTCGAACGGCACCGCCAGCGGCGCAATTCGGTGGAGGCGCACACACGTCTCGGCCGCGCCCAGCGGCGAGGAGGCGAGGCCGCGAGGCGTCCAGCCGAGAGCGGCCCAGCCCGAGAGCAGCCCCGAGGCGACGAACGGCTCACCCGTGGCGATGAGCGAGCTGAGGTCGGAGACGGAAGGCGAGTGGACGCGGACCACCGACGGGTGAGTTGGCGGGCCGCGTGTTGGCCGCGCTGTGCCGCTCGCTGCCCGTGCATCTGGTCGCGGCATGAAATCGCTGCGGCGCGGTCGCCCTTGTCCTCTCCGCGTTGCAATACTCGTGGCGGGATCCTTTCCAGCGCGAGTGACTGCCGAGAGGAGAAGAAGAAAGCCGACACGCAGCAGACAACGAGAAATAACGCACGGGCGCTCAGCGGAGCTGGGAAGAGGACCGCCGCAAGCGACGTGGCGTGGAGCGGTTGTGCATCCCTCCGGGGGCCCCTCTGCGCCGGGGAGGCGTTGTTGGAGGCTAGGACGCAAGCGTCCGTCGCCCTTTTCAAACTCGGGGCCCACTCCGCTACATGTACGCTCCGACCCGAATTTGGAGGGCCTAAAAGTTTAAGGTGTTGCTGCGCAAAAGGGGTCGGACACCGGGCGCAGCTCATGCTAAGAGCTAGAAGAGGAGATAGAGAGAACAACCACCCTGTCCCGTTATTGCGTACACCAACACCACAAAACGCTCTCTCTCTCCTGTCCTCACTCAGGGGGGTCACAACTACCAAGTCCCTCGACTATAGCTGCCACAGGGCGCAGCTGCCACAGGGCGCAGCTGGAGACGCTCCCCCTCAATCGGCATCCACCCCCACCCGCTCCAGCCCCACTTCTGCTGCCGAGAGAGCTGAATCGAAGCAAGCGAGCCATTGCATCTTGGCGTGCTCCTGGAGCGCGGCTTTCTGCGGCCACGAGCACGGCGGAGTCGGCGTCGTAGCGCGCATCGTTCCCGCTCATCGCCCATTCCTCCCGTGACGTGTGTCGGCCGCGATTCGATGTCGCCACCTTCATCGCCAACGAGGACTCCCTCGACTGCAGGGGGGCTCCGGCGCGGGGAGGGACTCCGCCTGATGCGCTGGCCGACCGCGCCCTCCTCCTCCATGGGCTCGATCCGATTCCGCAGCGGCGGTGCTGCGCGGGAGGCGGCCGCGGGCACGCTGGGCTCGATCAGGAGCTTTCCCTCAGTTGCCCCGAAAGCACGGATTTGGCGGCCGTTCTTGGCTTCAATTTTACGAATGTCTTGGCACCAGCTGAAGGCTTGCGTCCCAGATCGCCCAGTTCGTGCACGGTATTCGGATTTTGCTGTTTGCTCGTGTGGGGGTATATTGCAGATTTGTCAATGGTACCGCGTCTGCGACGCGGGCGCCTTGCGAGCAGAGCCCTTAGGACACCCTTTATATCTTGCGCGGTCAAAACCGAAGACGACCGATCACCAGCAGCAAGTGATGTGTGTGTGTGTGTGAGAGACGCTGCTAGAGATGCGTTTCGGGGCCCAGAGATAAAACTTCTGATGCCATGCATGACCTAGTAGTGTCCCCAGCTATGGGCGTGTCCACGTTGGAGCCAGGTGTGGTGTGGGCGCGAGAATAGCTCCGCCGTTAATGGAGGCAACCGATGCGAGTCGACTGGTGTGTGTTGTCGTGGTTTCGTATCAAGAATACTCACTCACTCACAGCAAGTGATGGCCGCACTCGCGGAGTGCGGCGACGCCGTTAGTGGTTAGAGACGGCGCGCTAGAGGCAGTCAAGACGTGGATCAAGGACGACGACGACCATACCCGGTGCGGAAACAACGTCTTTCAAGGTACCCGGGTAGTCCGCCTGCTCTTCTTTGCTGCTGTGCCATTTGTAGTGCCAGTCCGAGCCAGTCTGCTGTGAGAGGGGCTCGCATGGTAAAATTCTTTGGAGCGGAGAGCGCTGGGCGAGCACCGGCTTTTCCTCCGATGCTCTCCCTGCTGTTCGCGCCACCGGCGCTTGCAGAGGTCGACGATAACCTCGTCCGCACCCCTCCGCCCACCGATTTCTGTGCCTCGTCGCTGTCCGAGTGTGCGGCGGTGGATGCTGCGCTGGCGGCGGGCCAGCCCGGGCTGCCGCTGCTCGTGCAGTCCTCTCAGGCGGAGGTCGATGGCTACGTGGCCGAGGCGCTCCGGTGGGCGCCTTGCAACGGCCTGCTGATGCGCGCGGCCGCGGAAGAGGAGGAGCTGACTGCGGCGGAGTCCTACGTCCATGCTCCGTTTGCGCTGCTGCCAGCAGAGTACCCGGCGTCTGAGCTGGAGCGCGCGTGCGCTCTCGCGCCCTCGTTCAACCGGCTGGTCGACGCGGTGGCCGCGGACCTGCCCTGGCTGGAGGCGACGCTGCGGGAGACGGCTGCTTCGGACGTCTTCACCAGGCGCCTGCTCAGGCTCGCGCTCAGAGTGGCGTCCGAGGGGCCGACGCAAAGCGCAAGCCTGGGTGTCCTGCGCTCGGATTACATGCTGCACGAGCCGGAGCCTGCCGATGGGGCTGCCCCGGCACCGCCCCAGCTGCTGCAGGTTTTCTGCGCGCACCTCTTGACTCCCTCCCATGCTGCCCCCACCCTCCCATGCTGCCCCCACCCTCCCATGCTGCCCCCACCCTCCCATGCTGCCCCCACCCTCCCATGCTGCCCCCACCCTCCCATGCTGCCCCCACCCGCCGCCAGCCGCCGCCGCCGCCGCCACCGCCGCCACCGCCGCCGCAGCAGCAGCTGCTGCCGCTGCCGCTGCCTCTGCCGCCGCCGCTTCCGCCGCCACAGCTCTCCTCTGGCTCCGCCGCCGCCGCCTCGCCGCCTCACTCGCGCTCCCCACGGGCTCCTCCCTCCACCGTCCACGGCCCCCTTGCCTCCACCGCTGCTCCACCGTCGGCAGGTCGAGTTGAACACGATCGCCTCCTCGTTCGCCGCCCTCTCCTGCGCCGTCTCCGACCTGCACCAGCACCTCGCGACCCGCTGGCCCGCCCTCCGCGCCGCCATGTGGGAGCGCAGAGGGCGCCCGCCCAAGCTCACCCTCAGCGACGCTCTCCCACCTAACGACGCGGTCGACGCCATCGCAGACGCGCTCGCCGCCGCGCACCGCGCGCACGGCGGCGCCGACGCCGTCGTCCTCTTTGTGGTGCAGCCGGGCGAGCGGAACGCCGTCGACCAGCATCGGCTGTCGCAGCGGCTGTACGAGCGGCACGGTGTGCGGACCGCCTTCCGCTCCCTCTCGCACCTGGACCAGTCAGCAAAGCTCGAGGGGCCCAGGCGGCGGCTGCTGCTCGACGGCACGCAGGAGGTGTCCGTCGCCTACTTCCGCGCCGGGTATGTGCCCGACGACTACCCCTCAAACAAGGAGTGGTCCGCCCGTCTCCTCCTGGAGCGCTCTCTCGCCATCAAATGCCCGAGCGCCGCGTACCAGCTCGCCGGCGCGAAGAAGGTGCAGCAGCAGCTCGCGCTCCCTGGCGAGCTCGAGCGGTTCGTCTCGCCGGCTGAGGCCGAGGCGATGCGGCGTGTCTTTGCCGGCTTGTGGTCGCTGTCTGGCGACAAGACGCCGCCGGACGACGCGCCGCCCGCGGAGCGCGAGGCCGCGGAGGCGATGCGCGCCGCGGCCGCCGACCCGAGCGGGTACGTGATGAAGCCGCAGCGAGAGGGCGGCGGCCACAACCTCTTCGGGGCCACGCTCGCGGCCGCGCTGCGCGAGCTGTCTCGCGCGCAGCGGTCGGCGTACATCCTCATGCGGCGCATCGAGCCAAAGGCGGCGCCTGCGGTCCTCGTGCGCGCCGGAGAGGTCTACCGCGGCGACGCCGTCTCGGAGCTGGGCGTCTACTCGACCTACCTGCGCTCCGCCACCGGCCGCGTCCTCATCAGCCGCCCCGCCGGCCATTTGGTTCGCACCAAGATGCGCGGGGTTGACGAGGGAGGGGTCGCTTCGGGCTTCGCCGTGCTCTCGAGCCCGCTCGCTTCGAATGATGATGTGGTGTGACGCTGATGTTTGCACGTGCGGTTCGCTCTGACATTTGCATGCAATGAGAGCCGTAAAAGAGAAAGAACCACCAGATTTGGTGTCACGCCTCTCGATAGGATTTACCTCTCCTTTGCGCTGGATTTGGCGATCCAGCGCTGCTCGCGTCCAGACAGAGAGGCTGCCTCCACATCCACTCCTGAGCTGCTCAGGCCTGGTCAAGGGACAAGGCGCCACCCACCGGCATGCGGCATGCTCTGGTGGGAGCGCGATGCACACCAGCTTAATTTTTTGACCGCGCAAGACATAAAGCGTGGCTAAGGAAGGCGCCCGCGTCGCAGACGCGGACACGCGGTATACCATTAGGGGGTGGACGTCCTAATCTAAAATCTGAGGATTCAGGATTGAGGGCTTGCGTCAGTGGGGCCAAAGTGAGTTTATGGATGTGTGAGAACGGTACGGGACGCGAGGAGGCACGCGGACCGACTCGTCGGTGACTCTGCTGCACGCCGTTTCAGAATTTTTCTCAGCGTGAGCGAGACGTGGAAGAGTGCCACCGTCGGGTAGGACGGGTCGGCCCGGAGCATCAGAGTAGCCGTCGTGGTCGCGGCGAGCAGCGCCGGCCACTCCGGAGCCGCGTCCGCAACATGGGAGCATGTCCACCGCCACTTCGCGGTCGCAGCGCTGTTGTCGCCAGAAACGCCGCCTATCCCTCTGGCGGGCCAAAGATCGCCTCGCATGTCGATTTTGACTCGACGGGCGCATGGAGGCATCACGTCTCCATGCGCCCGTCAACCTATTAATACATGCGGGGCGCGCACACTAAGACAGTGATGCGGAACCCAAAGCTCACCTAACCCGTCGCACCAGGGCTCCAATATCCATCTCTCGCTCGCGGATCTCGATCCTACCTACGGCGGTCTGGGCACGAAATTATTCCTCCCCCAGCCGGTTCATGAAGATATAAAAGAAGAAACCGGTGTCGCCAGTGTGAACAGCGACTTTTGAGAGCTCACAGCTGCTGCCGAGCGCTCTGTGTCGCCCTGAGCTCTGCCAGGCGCCCTCTGCGCGCGGGGCCTGGCGCACGCGATCCGGGCCATGCCGTTTAGCCGCCCCTTCGCCTGCCAGACGACCAGCGCCCGCTGCCAGCGCAGCTGGAGTGGTGTCATGATTTGGGCCGCGTGCGGCGAGGAGGTTCGCGCCGCCCGACAGAGCTAAACCTGCCTGCCACACCGGCCTCTCTCGCCTCTCCAAGGGCGGCACGGCGTAGCACTGACTCACACACGCCCCTCCTCCGCGCGCGGGCGCGCGGCGCAGCCGCAGGCCGCTGCAGCGGTTCTGCTCCGCCCTTGCGCCGCGGCCTCGTCGCCGCTGCCGCCGCCGACTCGGACAGAGGCACCACCGGCCACAAATACGTGCCATCCAGGCCGTCGCGGCGGGTCCCCGAGTAGGTTCGGGTCGGAGCGCGCCTTTGAACCTACTCGGGGACCCGAACCTACTCACAGCCCGCGCGATGGAGCGCGGGTCGGCCTTCAAAGGCGTCCGTAGGTGGCGGAGGAGCGCGCTACTTTCGCCGATCATGCCGGTCGCGTCCAAGGTATCGGCACCGCCAAACGGACCTTCCCGGCTCTCTTAACGGTCCACACACGACTCCCCGGCGCGTCCCCCAGTAGGCGCGCGTGCGGGCTGCTCACACGCCGCGCGAGGGCGCGCGGCTCGGCCGTGGAAGGCGTCGGTAGGCAGCGGAGGACCGCGCTACTTTCGCCGATCATGCCGGTCGCGTCCAAGGTATCGGCACCGCCAAACGGACCTTCCCGGCTCTCTTAACGGTCCACACACGACTCTCCGGCGCGTCCCCGAGCAGGCGCGCGTGCCTGCGGCTCACAACCCGCGCGAGAGCGCGCGGCTCGGCCTTCGAAGGCGTTGGGAGGCAGCGGCCGAGCCCGCCTTCACCGTGACGCCGTTCAAGTGCCTAAGGCGGTAGGCGGATCACCGCACTTCTCCCCGGCGAGATGAGGCCCTCCGCGCTAGAGGAGAGGCGGACCAGACTAGGAGGAGCGGCGGAGGCCATCAAGCTTGTCTCGAGTAGCCCTCGCGCGCGCGCCATCGCGTGGCGGCGGTAGGGCGATTTTTCGCCGCCGAGAGTATCACGTCTCTAAGGGGTGCCGTGCTTACTTCGTTTGTGTACTGGCGCATATGCGTTTTCATGCCAACTTTTTAAGCCTGCCGCTGCGGCGTGCCTCCGCCTCATCGCCCTCTCTGCGCTAGATCTGCTGACTAGCCCGAGAACGGGCAGAACGGGCCGTCCTCGCATACTCCGCCACATCGAAAGTGAGAGCGAAAACTCAGCCTTGAGTTCTCAGCGCCCTCACGGCCCGCCGATGGCAAACCCGACTCCCTCCATCCGTGTGGCGCCGCCCGATGGTGCCGGGAACCCTATTCCGGAGCGATTTCCCCTAGGGTTAGCGCCGAAAAAGCCGGGCCCCTTAGCTCCGGCTAGGGCTGCGGGGCCTCCGAAGCCGACCCGAGGAAGGGCCGACTTAAGGGTTAGTATAGCGGGACGATAAGGCCGCCCACACCCGCGAGGATGGCTGTGTGTTTGCCTCCCCGACTCGGACGGCCGCCTCAGAGGGCGGGAGTGCTTCCGATCGCCCTCTCACCCGCGGGTGATGGCCGAGTCCACGGAGCCGCACGCTGCCTCTCCTTCGACGCAAGGATGCGCGTTCGCAGGGAGGGGGGAGGGGGCCATAAAGTAAACACGGGTCTCCGAGGGTTGGCCCCGCGTACCGCTACCGGGTTTCCCCTTAACTGCAGGACGCCCCCTCCTACTCGGAGCTAGTTAGTGAGTGGACACGACACTCACTGCCACCCGCCACTCACCGCCACTCTCATTCACTCACACACTTACTTACGCAGACACTTGCGTAGACCCCCGGCCCTTTTCTTTCTCCTCTGCTTTTCTGAATCTCCGAAGGGGAGGTGCGGGAGATCGCAACGGAACGTGTGTTGGACCCACAACCTTGGAGCACTTGGAGTACAACCGACCGCCTCAATTCGTACTTTCTGACCGCCGTCACGGCAAATGCGACAAAACACACACACACGGCAATGGCTCTCCGGATTCTGCTGCTCGTGCCGTTGCCGGGGATCACGGCGACAGACTCCTGTGTTCTTCACGGCGAGGCAAACCGTGACCCGCACCTGCACTTCGCTCATGGCGGACGCGCAGACTTTCGCGGCGAAGAGGGGCAACTCTATTCGTTTCTCTCGGCGCCCGGCCTAGCAGTCAATGTAAAGACTGAGAACGCCGTCTTCCGGATGAACAACAACCAACTTGTCGTGCACGGGTCCTTTATCACCGAAGCTCACGTCGTGGCGCGATCGGAAGGGTCGAAGTCTGCTTTTGTAAACGCATCCTTCTGGGCTCGCGAGCTTACAAGCCCAGGAGAGGACAACTGGGGCTGGCAGGCGATCACCGGATTCTGCGGGAGGCAGCCTTTCAAGTTTGGGAGGCGGGGCTCTAAGAACTGCTTCGGACTGGCCATTCGAATGCGGTACTTTAGCGCCACATTTGCGAAAGGCGGCTGGACTGTTGACGTCAGGGGCAATCACGTCTATGACCGAGTCGCAGGACCCATGCACCGCCTCGACATCAGCTTCAGCGCTGCTCGCGGGGAGGCTCGCTCTCTGCCACACGGTATTATTGGCCAGAGCTTCTCCTCCTCTGCACCGCGTCAGGGCCGCGTCGACGAGTACCCTGCTGAGGGCCACTTCACGACGCAGGCGATGGCAGAGGGGGCGATAGAGGGCGAGGCATCCATGTACGAATTGCCGTTCGCGTACGCGGTCGACTTTGCATTTTCCCGATTCAATGTAGAGTGGCTGGCGCCCATTCTCGCAGATAGCGGCACGGACGCAGGCCTAGAAGCCTCGGCAACCGAAGCAGTGGGACGAGCGACTATTTCGCACGACAGGCGTCTGTCGGAACAGCCATCGCCCTGCGCACCTCCGCCACCCAAGGCAGACAGCGACAGCGCACCCGATGCGAAGGAGTCCTGTGGCGATGCTTGCTCCGGTCACATGCTCTATTGCGACCAGCCGCGGATAATTGGATTCGACAGCTACGTGAGAGCCCTCCTCCCCGCCTTTCTCTCGTCGACCCTCCACGCACAATACTAGCTACGAAGGTGGTACGTGAGACTTGATCTCCGGTAGATCTGCCTCGACACTGTACACACGCCCTCAGGTGATCGGCGTGAACGATGGGACATGCTGCACGCAGAGCAACGCCGACACTGCCATTTGTGGCTTTGAGATCCAGGGCAGCGTGTGCGTACTGTTTGTCGGAGAGGGCTGTAGAATCAGTTACCAGCAGCGCCGGAAGCTTCAGCTTGGCACGACTCCAGACCAGACAGCGGAATCCCGACTCGGACGGCGACGGCATCCCAGACAGCGCCGAGGGCACGGGGGAAACGGACGGCGACGGCATCCCCGACTACCTCGACCCCGACTCGGACGGCGACGGCAAGCCCGACGCGGAGGAGGGCGCCGCCGACGCTGACAGCGACGGCATCCCCGACGCCAAGGAGTCCAACACCGCCGACACAGACAGCGACGGCCTGCCTGACGCGGAGGATCCCGACTCGGACGGCGACGGCATCCCAGACAGCGCCGAGGGCACGGGGGACACGGACGGCGACGGCATCCCCTGGGACTGCAACGGAATGATGACGTGCTCCTCTGGAGATTACTTCCCTCAGTGCGCCTTCCCCAAATTGTGCGACGGCACTGGCTGCGTCGACTGCCCAAGCGGACATCACATCTGCGCTTCAGGCATGGGCTACTACTCCCGGACGTGCTGGAGCGGCACGAAGTGCCACTGGACGGGGTGCGTTAGCGGCGAGGACCCGGACAACCCGTACCTGTGTCCGGAAGCGAACGCAGACCCGCCGCCCGCCTGCCCGACGCCGCCGCCGCTGCCGCTGCCGCCGCCGTCGCCGTCCGCACCGCCGCCGTCGCCGTCGCCGCCGCCCTCGCCGCCACCGCCGTCGGCTCCGCCGCCCTCCTCGCCGCCCTCGCCGCCGCCGCCGCTGCCTCCCCCGTATAACGTGTGGGACTGCAACGGAATGATGACGTGCTCCTCTGGAGATTACTTCCCTCAGTGCGCCTTCCCCAAATTGTGCGACGGCACTGGCTGCGTCGACTGCCCAAGCGGACATCACATCTGCGCTTCAGGCATGGGCTACTACTCCCGGACGTGCTGGAGCGGCACGAAGTGCCACTGGACGGGGTGCGTTAGCGGCGAGGACCCGGACAACCCGTACCTGTGTCCGGAAGCGAACGCAGACCCGCCGCCCGCCTGCCCGACGCCGCCGCCGCTGCCGCCGCCGTCGCCGTCGCCGTCCGCACCGCCGCCGTCGCCGTCGCCGCCGCCCTCGCCGCCACCGCCGTCGGCTCCGCCGCCCTCCTCGCCGCCCTCGCCGCCACCGCCGTCGGCCCCCCCCTATACGGACCTCTGGGACTGCAACGGAATGATGACGTGCTCCTCTGGAGATTACTTCCCTCAGTGCGCCTTCCCCAAATTGTGCGACGGCACTGGCTGCGTCGACTGCCCAAGCGGACATCACATCTGCAATCGAGAGGGGACCAACTACTACTCCCGGACGTGCTGGAGCGGCACGAAGTGCCACTGGACGGGGTGCGTTAGCGGCGAGGACCCGGACAACCCGTACCTGTGTCCGCCAGCGGACGCAGACCCGCCGCCCGCCTGCCTGACGCCGCCGTCCCCACCGCCGTGATATCAATTAGACTGCTCAGATTAAAGGGAGCCTGATCACATTAGAAAAATCCGTTCGCTCTCACCGAGAGAGAGGGAGAGAGAGAGAGAGAGTCGCGGTCGCTCGTTCGGTGTGGGCTGTCGGTCTTTCAGGGCACTTGTATGCAGGTAGGCGAGGTGATTGATGGTGAGTCGGGCCGGACGGTGGGACAGACGTAAGATAATCGGGCGTGCTTTCACAGCCTCGCGAGAGTGACTAGTTAAAATCTGTAAAATAATAAATCTTTATTTGTAAAAGCTCCCTCTATAGAACAAAGCTCCCTCGCACGAGACTGATAAAAGAATTCCGCGGCGATGGCTGCGCTCTCTCGTGTGTTTGTCAGATAGAGAGACGCACGAGACCGGAGCAGCATTAGAGCGCAATCGGGCCAAGGTCGCTTCCTGCAGTCGGACGTACACAGTCTCATCCCAGCAGCCTCAGCTCCGACCGCCCTCTCCCTTGGGGCGCCGCCCGCTGACCGCCAAACGCGCCCGCCTCCCTCGTGGCGGCGAGCTCCGCTAGTGCGGCGTGGCCCTTCGTCCCCGCCTTCCACGGCGCCCACGCCCTCCTCGCTCGCTTCGCGGCGGGCGCGGCGCTGCTCGCGTCCACCGCCTCCACCGCCGCCTGCTGCTGCTGTTGCTCCTCAAGCTCGGTGCCTCCGCCCAAAGCAGCCAGCCCGCCAAGCCGCGCCGACGGAGCGAGGGGCGGGCCCCCTGCACCCTCGCCGAGAGCGGCGCTCAAGTGCGACGGCTCGTCTCTCCGCATCGCCTCGGAGACAGCCGAGGCCGAGGCCAGCGCCTCGAGCCGCGCCATGGCCGCGCGCAGCCGCCGCCGCGCCTCTGCGGAGAGCGCCTCCGCCCCAGCCTCAATCTCGTTCATCGTGAAGCGCGTCTCGCTCTCCCCGACCTCGCCGTCCCTCGCCACCCGCTTCCGCCGCGCGGACTCGACGCGAAACTGGTTCTGCCAGCTCGTGACGAACCCGGCACCCTCTCCGGCGAGCTGTCGGCTACCGCCGCCACCACCGCCACCGCCACCGCCGCCGCCGCCGCCGCCGCCGCCGCCGCCGCCGCCGTCGGCCGCCGCCGCCAGCGCGGCGTCGGCGCAAGCTTGCGAGGCCTCTGGCCGCGCCGTGGCGGGCGGCGGGGCGGCGGGTGCCCCCCCCTCGGATGAGGATCCGCCGGGAGCAGACCCGTCGGCGCCGCCCCCCTCGGCGCCCTGGCTGCGGCCTCGCTCCCTCTCCGCCCGCTTGTCGGTGCGGATGCTCCTCTTGTCGGCCTCGAGCAGCTGCTGCGCCAGGCCAGAGCCTGCCGAGGGCGGGCAGGCAGCAGAGGCGCGCGGCCGTCAGCGACCCGTGAGGTGCGGTGCGGGCGGCAGTGACGGTGAGGTCGAGGGAGGCGGCGGCGAGGGCGACGCGGAGGGAGGCCGCGGCGAGGGCGAGGCGGACGGCGGCGGCGGCGACGGTGAGGCGGACGGAGGCGGCGGCGACGGCGGCGACGGCGGAGAGACTGGTGCGGTGCGGGCGGCGGCGGCCCCTCGAGGGGCCTCTCTCGACGAACTCCGGGGAGGATGCCGCACCGGTGTGTGGCTGCAAGGCGCGGTGTGCGAGCGGTGCAGGCGGCCCTCTGCGTGGGAGAGGGAATGCGGCCCACGGTCAGAGCCCCCTACCCCCACGGTACCCGAACCCAACCCCCTCTGCATCTAGTCTGCATCTAAGCGCGCGTGCGAGAGGGGAGGCGAGAGGCTGCGTCTCCGGGGCGAGGGGCTGCGTCTCCGGCGTGCCGAGGCGCGCGCTTGGCATCGTCGCTGAAGAAGGCGACCACGTCGCTCCACAGCTGCAGCTGCGGGTAGTGCTCGCGCAGAGCCTAGCCGAAGCCCAGCGGAGATGGGGGGGGGGGGGGGACGGGCGGCAATGAGGGCGGCGGCGGCGGCGACGGCGGGGATGGGGAGGGAGGAGGTGTTCAGCCGAGCAACGCGCACGCCGTCGAGCATGGGCAGCCGGATCTCGCCGCATCTCGCTGCGTCACGCCTCGCCTCGGCTCTCTCGCGCCTCGCGCACCGCACCGCCTCTCCGTCCAATCTCGGCGCATCTCGGCGCATCTCGGCGCATCTCGCACCTCGCGCACGAGCTCGAGCTTGGACAGCTGCGCCGCCCGCCGGCGGCACACGCCCTCGCCAACGCCGACGTACTTCCCGAGCCTACGTGCTGAATACGCCGACATGAGGGCGGGGAGACGGCTGAGTACGTGTCCTCTCGGGAGCTAGTTGGGGCACATGAATACGTATTCCGCTTCTAGGTTCCCGAGCCGCGTGGTGAGGCGGTGCACCCGCGAGGGGGCGTGCCTGGGAGATAGGGGGGAGATAGGGGGAGGGAGCCGAGAGGGGAGGCGAGAGGGGAGGCGAGAGGGAGGCGGGAGGGAAGCGGGAGATAGCCGAGAGATACGCCGCGCGAGAGCCGAGAGGGAGAGCCGAGAGGCGCCCCGAGGGCGCGCAAGCCTCTCTCCGCCTAGCGCCTCCCCGCCTGGCGCCTCCGCCTGGCGCCTCCGCCTGGCGTGTCTTCATCTAGCGGCCGCGTGCTCGTCGACCGCAGGGAGGAGCCGCTCCACAACCTCATGGTGCGCCGACGGCTGGGTGGTTCCGAACCGGAGCGCCGCGAGGTCAGCGAGCACCTGCCGGCCGCGAGGCGGGCCGTCGGGGCCGGGGCAGGGCGGGGCGGGGGCGGGGGGCGGGGCCGGGGCGTGGGGCCGGACAGGGCGGGGGGCGGGGGGCGGGGGGCGGGGCCGGGGCGGGAGCAGGGGGGAGGGAAGGGCGGGGGATGGGGGCGGGGGGGGGGCGGCGGCTGGTGGCACTTGCGCCGGCGTGCGGGTTGTCCAGACAAACTCGTTGGCATCCACGATTGAATCGTCCCACACCTGCCCAGGGCGGTGTGGCGAGGTGTGGCGAGGTGTGGCGAGGTGTGATGTCTTGTGCCGACTATGTGCGGTGACTGGCGAGGCGCGCCGAGAGCGACTGCAGAGGCGGCGAGGCGCGCGGTAGAGGAACGAGCCTGCCGCCGCGCATCGCGACGTGCGGCCACAGCTCCGGGTTGCCGAGCACCGCCTACTCGCACAAGGGTGCTCTAAGCAGTCGCCGTCTGCAGCCGCCCGCCGCCCGCAAGCCCGCCGCCGCCGCCTCCCATTTCAGAGGGCAGAGGAGGAGCAACGCATCCTCCGCCGCGACGCCGCATGCGAGGTGGGCGGTGTGGTGGACCGCGCGTCCGAGGAGCAAGCCGTCCACGTGACACTCGGCAGCAAACCACGAGCCGACCGCCCCGCCTGCCGCCTTTGCTTCCGCTCCCGCCTCTCCCGCCGCCTCCGTTGCCACCGCTGCTGCGCCGGCGGCGCCCGCGGCACCGGAGGGGCGCGCCCGCATCTCGACGACCACGCCGAGCGTCTCCCACACATAGGCGCGTAGGAAGCGAATGGCTGTCTCGGCGGGCGACTCGACACCTCTCGTGAGTTGCGTACACGGAGCGCTGGCGTTCGGCTGTGGAGGGCGCGCCATGAGATGCGGAGGGAGGACGGCCGGGACGGACGCCGTGAGGCCGCACTGGTGCAGGCCCGACACTGGCTGCGCGTTCGCGGGGCCCAGGCTTTGCCGCGCCGCGGCGTTGAGCGCCGCCACGAGCGCCGCTTCGCCCGGTGAGACATCACTGACCGCCGTCAGCTCGCGTGAGGAGCCAGGAAGGGTGCGAGGTGGTGTGGCGAGCACCGCGCGCGAGGCCAGGTGTAGGTAGAGTGGCACCGCGCCCCGCCGGAAGGTGGTCCACCCCGCTGGCAGCGCGGGCACCCCGACCTCCATGGAAACAAAGAAATTTTCGGGCATTCACACAAGGATTCACAACACTCGCGGAGAGGGTGTCGTCATCATCTGTCTAGCGTCCACCCATACCGCGATGGTGTCCAGTCCGAGCCTGGCTGTTCTTCACCTTTCTACCTACCTACCTAGGCGGTAAAGAATTCTTCCCCAGCTTGCGAAATCTAACCCTATAAGTCCGTATGGTTCTTGCACTTGTGCAAGATTGGGCGTCTTCTGCCGCAGTCCCTTTGATGGGAGGCCCCGGGGTGGGGGCCACCTCGATCGAACCCCTAGCCAGGCCGCGAGGAGCGCAACGTGTGAATGAAGATACCCCCAACGCACAACACGTGAGGTGCCGAACCACGCTACCGTATACAGTCGGGATCGGCATCGCCATCGGGCACAAACCGTCGGGATATATGTGACCTTTGGTTTGGTTACCTCCCGCCAAGCCCAAAGAGCCGGTGCCGAGTCGAGGTGCCGAGATAGCCTCGCAGGGACAGGAGGGTGTGTGAGAGAGAGAGAGAGAGAGAGAGAGAGGTGTGTGCACCGGGCATGTACTCGAGTAGAGGGAGGAGACTCTCTCTCTCTCTCTCTCTCTCTCTCTCTCTCTCTCTCTCTCTCTCTCTCTCTCTCTCTCTCTCTCGTCGTATGTCAAGAGTTTCCGAGAAATCTCTCGGGACGCCCTCGGCCTCGGCGAAAGTCGATCGTGTCACGAGCTATCCGGCGTCACTTCGATTATGAGCGCATGTGCCGACTGCTCCATCAAACGCAGCGGGGCAATAGACCCTGACGACGGTTGCTTCTACTGCCATCAGTGCTGGGCCAAGCATCTCATTGTGACCCGCGGCGCAGGCCACTGGTGCACCTTGTGCAGCGTGCAAGTGCCAGCGGGCGTGGGTGCCGGCTTGTTGCATGTAAAAGGAAGCAAGCATCTGAAGGTTCTGGCTCATCCGCGGCCCTCGCCGCCTCATCCGCCCGCCGCTGCCACCGCTGCCGCTGAAGCCGCTGCCACCGCAGCCTCGTCCGCAGCTGCCATGCCTCCCGCACTTGAGGAGGCTGCCGGTCCAGAGATGACATTGGCGGAGCAGATCGCAGCAGAGGAGGCGGCCGCAGCCTCGGCGCAGGACGTCGAAGCCGGGGATATTGGCCCGGCGGCCTTAGCGCCGGATCTGATAAACCAGCTGCGCGGATACTTCGCCCCGCAAGCTCAGAATCGCGCCGGCGTCGCGGCAGATCACCCTCGCACCACCCTCTATGGCAGCGTGGACTCGGCGCCGGCCAATTTGGAGCTTGTGCTTCTGGGCCATCTCATTGGCGGAGACGATAGCAGCGAGGTCTATCTCAATGTCACCGACCCGTTCTGTCTCATCTCGGTGGGCGTGCAAGGCGCGGGCAAATCGCACACGACGAATTGCGTGCTGGAGACGTGCCTCCTTCCGTTTGCGCCCCTCTCGCGCGTGCGCCAGCCCATGTCAGTGCTCGTCTGCCACTACGACCAGAGCGAGGCGAACTGCTGCGAGGCGACGGGGCTTGGCCAGCCGAGCCATGGAGTGGCGGGGCTGCTCGAGCTGGCGGGCTCCGCCGTCTCTGCGCCCTGCCTCGGCCATGACTCGCTGCTCGTCCTGTGCTCGCCATCTTTCTATCTCCAAAGGAAGGAGTACTATGCGGGCGTCTGCGTGGTCAAGCCGCTCCTGTTCCGGTGGGGGCGGCTAAAGGCGCAGCAGCTCAAGATGTTGATGAAGCTCGACGAGAGCTCGACTCAGCTCTACGTCGCGCTGATGCTCGAGATGCTGCGCGGCTACCAACGGGCGCGAAAGGTGCCGCCATACCAGCAGTTCATGAAGGAGCTGGAAGCGTTATGCTCGAGCCAACAGGCGGGGCCGTTGCGCCAGCGCATGCAGCTCCTGTCGGCCTTCATCTGGGAGGCGGAATGCAACGAGTCTTTGCGAGATGTGGGCGCTGACCTGAGCGAGGTCATGGCGGCAGGCCGTATGGTGGTGGTGGATCTGACCGACCCGATGATGGCACCTGCCGACGCGAACGGCGTCTTCCAGGTGCTGCTCGAGTCGTTTCGCTTCAAGCAGGTGCACGGCGCAGGCAAACTCGTCGTGTTTGATGAGGCGCACCGCTACATGGGGATGGCGGGGGAGGGCGATGCTCTCGCGCGCGAGATCACCGATTGTGCTCGGCTGATGCGCCATGAGGGCTTGCGCCTCATGATTTCTACGCAGTCGCCCAAGGCGATGCCAGAAGAGCTTCTCGAGCTCGTCACTCTCCTCGTCGCGCATCGTTTCCAGTCGGGAGATTGGCACCAGTACCTGGCGAAGAAGGTGCCGCTACCCGAGGATAGCTTCGCTTCGATCCGAGGCCTCTCGCCTGGCGAGGCGCTTGTGTACTCAGCGCGGCCGCACATCGCTTCGTGCCCAGACGCGGAGGTGCTGCCGATCAAGGTGCGCCGCAGGCTGACAGCAGACCGCGGCGCCTCACGCACGAACCACGCTCGCCGCACGAATGCGACGGCACACAGCGGCACCGGCGTAGAAAGGCCGACATCGTCCGGCGCGACTCCCGCAGAGTCCGCTACGTCGGCGCTGAGCGCGGAGAGGGGCGTACCTGCGCTCAGGGAGCGCGTGCGCATCGAGGGTTTCACGGTCTTCACTGAGCTCAACGGGCGGAGCGGCGTCGTGGTCTCGATCGACCGAGACGCGGGACGCTGCGGCGTGACGCTCGACGACCAGGATCCGATCAGCGTCAGCGTGCGAGCAGAAAGGCTTGTTTCCTACGACTAGACCTGGATAGACCAAGGCACAGTCGAATCGATCTCCTGCACCGGGATGGCGTCAAAAACGGGGTGATTTCGGTCATCCGTCAAAATATCTGAAGATCTGACCGGGGGATTCTCCCCAAACCTTGCTCAGCTGATCCAGCCTGGGGGGAAGGCCAGCCCCGGGCAAAGAAACCAGTACCTCAACCGGCTTCCCTGAGCGTCACAGCTCGGTGATCGCGCCGGCCGGACACCACTGTAACGTCCGTTCCGGGCATTTGAACGCGACCTTCGGGGGCAAAGACATGGGCTCTATGGCTCAGACTGGACTCCTCTTGGTCCCTTCTGATGCCCTAGGCCACACCTGGGCCTTACCTGGGGTTCTAAGGGCCGGCCAGGGTTTGCCTCCCTACCGTCGGGTACTTATTTTAAGAGCAGGTAAACAGCAATAGATCCGGCCCTCAAGCGGCCTAATCGATACCCAGCCCTCACGGAATCGGTCCCTTGTTGTACAGCAATCGATCCTTCACAGTGCCCGTCCTGCCAACTTGCCGAGAATCGGTCCCCCAGGTCACCTGTGGCGCGAAGCTGATGTCTCCCGCCCTCGGCGCGCCCAACGCGCAGCGGCGGCAGACCACCCTCCGGTTCGAGGGGCGCCTGGGGCTGAGCGGGCTGCCTCCGCCAGAGTTTGGCTCGCCCACCGGCGGGCTGTCACCCTGCCACGGGTCGCAAGCCCTCTGCCGGCCGGAGCGCAGGCTGCGCGGGCTTCCAGCAATTGGTCCCTTGGCAAGCGCGAATCGGTCCCCCTGGCTCCAGGAACTGATCCGGCACTACACCCGGATCTATTGCTGTTTACCTGCTCTTAAAATAAGTACCCGACGGTAAAGGGGCCCGCTACTCAAGAATTCTTCGCTTCGCGCCGCTCGCTCGGCGCCCGGCAGCTCGGTCTCGGGTGCTCCTCCTCCTCCCCTTCTCCTCCCATTTCTGTCTAAGCCGTCCCGCGCCTCATGTGGGCTCTCGAGAAGATCCTCGGGAGTCCTGCTCCGCGGTCGGCGGCGACGCCGCGTGCGCCCACGCCCACCGCGGCCGAGCTGGACGAGCTGTCGGCTCAGCTCATCTCAGCCTCGACTCGTGGCGATGTCGAGGCTGTGCGGGCTCTGCTCAAGGCCGGCGCGAGCCCATCTTGCCGAGGCGAGATGGGCGCGACGCCGCTGCACCGCGCAGCCGACCAGGGCCACACGGCTATCGCCGAGCTCCTACTCGCCGCCGGTGCGTGCCACCGTCACCCACGCCGCCCCATATTTCGCAGCCGGCACCCTCCCCTCTGACAGCGCCTCGCACACAGTCGCCTCCGGCGCCGCCGCTGCTCCGCAGGCGCGCCGGTCAACGAGCGAGACGACCTCGGCGACACGGCTCTGCTCTGCGCCTGCCGGCGCGGCCGAGCGAGCTGCTCCCGGCAGCTGCTCGCTGCGGGCGGGGACGCGGCGCTCTGCAACATGCAGGGGTCCAACTCGCTCGACGCGGCGCTCGAGGCGCGAGAGATGCTCGGCCTGGCGGAGGTGTCGGAGCTGCTGCTTGGCCAACTCAACCACCACCATCTCGGCCAGGTGGTGGGAGATGCGGGGAGAGATGGGGAGGGATGGGGAGAGATGGCGGAGGGGTTCAACGACCAGGCCTCCCGCCCTCCCCCCGCTCCCTTCACCCTCGCTCTCCGCCTCCCGCGACGCACGCCCTTTCTCACGCCCGCACGCGCCCCTCCCGAGGCTGGCACCCGTGTCCAAACACTCCCGTCTGCACTTCCCTCCGTCCCTCCCCTCCCCCGCAGCTCGGCACGGCGGCCGGACTGCCGCCGCCCGGCGGCTCTTCCGATCACGCCTCGCCGCCGAAGCTCGCCTCCGCCACCGCAGGGCTCGGTCGCCCGCGCCCCGCCGCCGCCGACGCATCGCCACCCGGCGCAGAGCCGTCGGCCGCCGCCGCCTCCGCGGCAGGCGCCGCATGGCCCGGCGGCGGCGGCGGCGGCAGGCAAGGCAACGGTGGAGGCGGCGATGATGGCGGCGGCGGAGGCGGCGGCGGAGGCGGCGGCGGGGGCGGCGGCGGCGGCGGCGGCGATCGCGGCGATCGCGGCGGCGGCGGCGGCGGCGCTTCGCTCGAGGAGGGGGGGGGTGACGGCGGGCACGTGGTTGGCGTGGTCGGCGCGACGCGGCTGCGGCTGCGGCGGGAGGAGTGGGCGCGCCGCGCCGCCCGCCCGGCCGGTGGTGGATGCGGCGCAGGCACACGCACTCCGCGACGCGCCGTTTGCCTCTCTCGCGCAGGCGCTCGATCGCAACTACCCGAACTGCCACTTGTGCAAGGAGCCCTTCACGATCTTCAACCGGCGGCACCACTGCCGCTCGTGCGGGCTGGTCTTTTGCGACAAGTGCGACGAGATGCAGCCGAGATGCAGCCGAGATGCAGCCGAGATGCAGCCGAGATGCAGCCGAGATGCAACCGAGATGCAGCCGAGATGCAGCCGAGAGATACCTCTCCCAGGCGTTGCACGCGGCGGCAATATCTCGGCCATCTGTCGGCCATATCCTCGGCCGTATCTCGGCTACATCTCGGCTGTATCCACCGGGCAGCGCGGCCGCCGGCGCCTCCGCCACCCACCCCCTCGCCCTCCCCGCCGCCCATCAGGTGCTCCTCCTCCTCCATCCTGACCAAGACGCTGCAGCCCGGCCTCGGCTTCCCCGGCACGCAGGTCCACCACCCACGCGCGCGCAGCGGCCCCTTGCACTGTGGGGCTTGCACTGTGGGGCTTGCACTGTGGGGCTTGCACTGTGGGGCTTGCACTGTGGGGCTTGCACTGTGGGGCTTGCACTGTGGGGCTTGCACTGTGGGGCTTGCACTGTGGGGCTTGCACTGTGGGGCTTGCACTGTGGGGCTTGCACTGTGGGGCTTGCACTGTGGGCCTTGCACTGTGGGGCTTGCACTGTGGGGCTTGCACTGTGGGGCTTGCACTGTGGGGCTTGCACTGTGGGGCTTGCACTGTGGGGCTTGCACGGTGGGGCTCGCGCCTTCTAGACGTGGAGTCGCGAGGGCTGCCTGGTTGCCCCCGCCCCCCTGGTTGTGTGTGGAGGAGTGTCTCGTGGTGCCTTACCCACAGGTGCGCGGCCCCGCCGCCTCTTCGGTCAGCGGCGCGGGAGGCGCCGCCACCGTGTCGGTGGTCCGCGTCCGAGTGTGCCTCACTTGTGCGCAGCTGCACGACACGTCACCTCGCGAGCCGGTGCGAGCAGCTGCGGCACGCACGCACACACACGCACACACACACACACACACACACACACACACACACACACACACACACACACACACACACACACACAGCTGCACGACACGTCACCTCGCGAGCCGGTGCGCGCAGCTGCACGACCGCAACCGCGGCAGACGCTCGCCTGCTCCGGCGGCGCCACACCACGCCCCGTCCTCGGCTCTTAGGTGCGCGTCGGGCCGCCGCCGCGAGGGCGCTAAACACACTGCATCGGTCGCGCGCCGGGGCTGTGGGCCGCGCCAAAGACAACCTGCTGCTGCTCCTGCTCCGTAGGCCTGTCGAGACCAGAGAGGTTGCGGCCAACTTGCGCTCGCTCCTCGCGCCGCTCACGCCCTGGGCGCTCGGGCGAGGGGGCTGGTTTGCGGCGGCGGCGGCCGGTGCCGACAAGAGAGCTGCACACCCAACGTCGACGACTCTCGCCGCATCTCGGCCGCGCTTGGAACATAGGCTTGCCCGCCTAGAAGAATACGCGTTCATGTCTCCCAACCAGCGCTCGAGAGGAGGCGCAGTCAGCTGTGTTCAGCCGTATTCCGCTGTATACACTGTATTCGCACCCCTCGTATTCACGCGGTGCTCTGCACAATACCGTACTCCCGCCCTCATGCCGGCGTATGCACAACATAGGCTCCACTGCGCCGCTACCCTCTACTGTGCTCCCCTCGACTGCGCTCGCCCCCGCGCCGCCCTCCTCCGCGCCGCCCTCCGGCGCAGCAGCCGCGCCGCAGCACGCGGCTGCGCCCCCCGCGCCGCCGGCGACCGCCGTTTCACTCGACGCTGCCGCCGTTTTACTCGATGCTGACGGCGACGAGGACGACGCGCCCAGGCCGCAGCCGCAGGAGCAGCCGCAGGATCAGCCGCCACCGCAGCCGTCGGCACCGCCGCAGCCGCAGCCGAGGCCGCCCAAACCGCCGAAGCCTCCGCGGCAGCAGGGCGGGGAAGGCTCTTGTAGCGCCCCCCCGGCCGCTGCCGCCACCACGGTGCCGTCCCTCCTCCTGCCGCCCTCGCTCGCCGCGTCCGACACGGAGGACGGCGGCGCCGTCCCGAGCTGTGCCCCGCCCACCGCGTCCAGCGAGGCGGACGTGTGCCCTCCATGCGACTCCAGCGGCTCTGCAGGCGCCCCCGCCCCCCACGGCTCTCCCGCTCTCTCTCTCTCTCTCTCTCTCTCTCTCTCTCTCTCTCTCTCTCTCTCTTTCTCTCTCTCTCTCTCTCTCTCTCTCTCTCTCTCTCTCTCTCTCTCTCTCTCTCTCTCTCTCTCTCTTCTCTCTCTCTTCTCTCTCTCTTTCTCTCTCTCTACACACACACACACACGCACGCACGCACGCGCGCGCTCTCGGCTCGCTCCCTCCCTCGCAGAGAGCGAGCTCCTCGCAGAGAGCGAGGCCGCCGGCCAAGACCCGCGCCTGGCCGAGGTGTTGCGTCCATCGCTCCGCAGGCGCCTCGCTGCGCTCCTCCTTGGGCGGCCTCGCCTGTGGCGCCACCGGCGGCCCGTCCCTGCTGCGGCCGGCAGGACACCGCCGCACTCTGTCTTCCGACTTTCCGGCGGCGGCGGCGGCGGTGGCGGCGGCCGCCGCGGCGGTTGTCCTCCCGGCGCCGGCGCCGGTGGATGAGGCGGTGGAGGAGGAGCATCGGCGGCGGTTGGGTGCGTGGGTCGAGTCGCAGCTGCGGCAGGCGGTGGAGCGAAAGGTGCGTTGCGACATCTCTCTTGATTGATCGATGATTGGCTGACTCACTTCGCTGATTCGTCAATGGATTGATGCAAGGTGCGGCGCGACGCCCCGCAGTTGGGATCGTGGCACGGCCGGCTCGAGGCGCTCGCGGGGCGCGCGGCCGCGTCGCTGCATCCGGAGCCGAACCGCTCCATCGGCACCATCCTCAAGATCAAGACGCTCGCCGGCGGGTCCGCAGCTGACTCGCGGTATGTTGACGGGGTGGTTTGCCGGCTGCGCCTCGCGGACAAGCGCATGGCGACGCGGCTGCCCTCGCCGCGCATCCTGCTCCTCGATTGCGCGCTCGAGCACGAGGCGGGCGGCGTCTCCACGTCGCTCGAGGGCCTCGGCCGGCAGGAGCGCGATCTCGGGCAATCTCGGGCAATCTCGGGTACTCTCGGGTACTCACGAGGGCCTCGGGCAATCTCGGGTCATCTCGGGTCATCTCGGGCCATCTCGGGCCATCTCGGGTGATCTCGGGTCATCTCGGGGGCAACGGCCGGCAGGAGGACGAGCACATGACGATGGTCGTCGCCGAGCTCGCCAAGCTGCGCGTCGACTTGCTGCTCGTCTCTGGCTCGGTCTGCTTCACCGCAAAGACCAAGCTGCTCGAGGCAAAGATCGCGCTCGTCGTGAAGGTGATTGCCCGAGATTGCCCGAGATTGAGCGAGATTGACCTGACCGTGGAGCCGTCTCGTGAGAGGGGCGTCCGGCCCACGGACTGAAGAGCCTCTTCCTCTCCTCGTCCCCTCAGGCCAAGCCGCAGCTCCTCCACCGCCTCGCGTACTCTCGTGCAATCTCGGGTAACCTCGGGTAGCCTCGTCCCCTCAGGTCAAGCCGCAGCTCCTCCACCGCCTCGCCCGAGTGTGCGGTACGGTCGTCTACCGCTCGCCCGCGCAGGTGCTCGGCGCACAGCCGGGCACGTGTGGCGCGTGGCGTGTGGAGACCATCACCGTCGTCGAGCCATCTCCCTCGCTCGCCGACCCTCCGTTGGCAGCGGCTCCCGCGGGCGGCGCTACAGCGGGCGGCGCTACGGCGGGCGGCGGGGCGGCGGGCGGCGGGGCGGCGGGCGGCGGGGCGGCTAGCCGGCGGGTGACACTCATGTGCTTCGAGCAGTGCGACCCCGCGCTGGGTGCGACGGTGGTCCTTCGCGGCGAGGGCACGGCGGCGCTCAAGACTCTCAAGCGGCTCCTCGCCTCGGCCGCGTACGTCGCCGCCGACTTGCGCGCGGAGGCGGCTTGCGTCTTCGACTTTGGGGGGACGATGCCGCCCGCGCGGCCCTCGTCCATCCCTCCCGAGAGGCGCCTCTCCCGCTTCTCCTCGGCCTCGCCCTCGTACGCGCCGCGGCGGGTCTCGGTGGAGGCGGTCCTCGGCAGGCAGCCACGCACCATCGCCGCCGGTGCCGCCTCCGCTGCGGCCGCCGTGTCGCGGGCGCCCTCGGTGCACACGGAGTCGCGCGCGTCAAGCTTCAACTCCTCCGCCGACCCCGCGGCACCCCTCGGTGCGGCCGCGGCGGACCACGCCCCCTTCTCGCCCGAGTCGTCGCCCCTGGCGCCGCCCGCGCCGGCGTCGGTCGCGGCAATGGCGGCGGCGACGGCAGCGGCGACGGCGGCGGCGACGGGGTGCGACTGCAGCGTGGCGGAGGGCCGATCGCTGCCTCCGCTGCACCTGTCGAGCGGCGGCGCCCTCCCGGGGGAGGTGCGTCTCGGCGTCTCGTCCTCCTCGAGCACCCCCCGTGATTTGCTGCCCGCCGAGCGCAACGAGGACGAGTACTTCCTCACCGCCGCCGCCGGCGAAGACCCGGCTGGCTGGCAAGCCTCGCTACCGCCGCTTGGCGCCGGCGGCGTTGCCGGGGGCAGCGCAGGTGGGGTCGGCGCGCTGGCGGGGGCGGAGGGGCTGTGGGAGGAGGAGGCGCACATGCTGCGCGTCTCGAGCGTGTGGAAGCGGTGGGACGTGATCGAGGCTCCCTGCCAGGTGCCGCGCGAGCGGACTCTCCCATATCTCCCCATATCTCCCCATATCTCCCCATGTCTCCCCATGTCTCGCCAGGTGCCGCGCGAGCGGACTCTCCCATTCTCGCTCGACTCGCCCGCCGCCGCCACGTGCGCCCCGGAGGACGCAATCACGCTCGGCCACTTCCTCTCCAACACCTGCCTGCACCCCGACTCGCTGCGGCGCCAGTGCAACAACGGGCGCTGCCGCGAGTCCGTGCTGCGGCACGAGCAGTGCTTCTCGCACCACGGCTGCCGCATCTCCGTGCGTGTGATGCAGTTGCCGGAAGGCGCCGCGCTGCCGCCAGAGCTCTGCGCTTGGTCCGTCTGCCGCGCGTGTGAGGCGCAGCGGCTGCACGCTCCGCCGCCACCGCGCCTCCGCCTCTCCGATACGACGCGAGGCCTCTCTCTGGGCCGCTTTCTCGAGCTCAGCGCGTACAACGACACGGCAACATCGCGGTTCTCGGGCTGCACCCACTCACTGCACGCCGACTTTGAGCGCTACGTCGGCGCGGGGACAATGGTGTGCTCGATCCGCCACCAGCGCTGCGTCGTCTTTGGCATGACCCCGCCCGGCCTCCCGGGCCGACACGCGCCGCAGGGCAGCAGTCCCAGCGAGGTGGAGGCGGCCGCCGCAGCCGTCGGGCCGCCCGCACCGGCGCCCAGCCCAGGGGCCTCACAGCAGCACACCACCTCCCCTATTGCGTCTGCGCAGAAGACGCCGCCGCCCTCGCCGGTGCCGCCCGCCGGAGCGAGTTCGGTCGTAGCTACCACCTCGTCCACCGGCGCCACCGGCGCCACCGGCGCGTCGAGCACTACCGTTTCCGCCGTTGTTGCCGCCGCCGCCGCCGCCGCCGCCACCGCCGCCGCCACCGCCACCGCTACTGCCACTACCACAGCCGCATCGGCCTCCGGGTCGCCAGCACGAAGCGGCCTTGTGCAGCGTGCGCTCTTCGCCAAGAACGAGCGCTCGTCGGCGCTCTGCTCCGCCGTCGCCGCCCTGGCGCTCGAGTCTCCACAGGTCAACACACGAGACGAGACGCGCCCGGTTGGAGCACGTTGGCACCAAAACCTCCTCCGAGAATCCCCGACAGCATGCGACGCGTCACTCGCCGCGCCCACCACTGACGACCTCCCGCCACCCGCCGCTCAGGCGGCCGCCGAGGTCGCCCGCGCCGCCGGCGGGCCGATTGGGAGCGTCGGCAGCGCCGAGGCGCTGTGTGCGCTCATGTCTGCCTCGGACGGGCCGCACAAGCTCGAGGCGCGCGGGAGCCGTCCGAGCGAGACTGGCCCGAGAGAGCCCCGCTGTGCCCTTCCGAGGCAGGCTTGCGTGGGCCGCCCCTCCCCACGCGCCCGCTCCCTCGCACAGGTGAAGTATGACGAGCCGCCGGATGAGCCCGAGCTGCTGCGCGCGTGCGGCGGGCTGCTGCCTGCTCGCGTGGCGATCCTCTTCCCCGCCGCATTCGCCGCGCTGCGCCAGCGCTTCTGCGAGGGCGGCGACGCCTCGTTCGTCGCCTCGCTGCGCCACGCACGCCCGTGGGACTCGGGGCACGGCGGCCGCTCCGGCTCCACCTTCCTAAAGACGTGCGACGGGCGCGCGCTCCTCCGGGCTCGTCCGAGGCACACCTCCCCTCCCCTCCCCCGCCCCCCGATCCGTGGCCGCCCTCTGCAGGCGCTTCCTCATCAAGCTTGTGCCGCGGCACGAGTACCACGCCTTCTTCGAGCACGCGCCCGCCTACTTTGCGTTTGTGCGCACCACGCCCACCACGCTGCCGTCGCTGCTCGTTAAAGTGCTCGGCGCCTTCCACGTCGAGTTCCGCTCGGCCGACAAGAAGAGCACGCACTCGCAGTGGCTTCTGGTGCAGGAGAACCTCTTCTTCGGCCACGACGTGGTGCGCATGTGCGACCTCAAGGGCGCGCAACGCCACCGCGCCGGGGACGACCCCGACGACACGGTCGTGGACGAGCACCTTTTCCAGGCGTGCACCGCCCGACAGCCACTGTCACCTCTGATGCCCTCAGCGCGCCACAGCCACGCCTCGCGCCACGCCTCGCGCCACGCCTCCCGGCCACCCCTGCCGGCCCCTCCCCCTCTGCAATCCTCCGCGTCGCGGTTCACGCCCCCCCCCCCCCCCCCCCCAAAGCTCAACGGCGGCTACCCGCTGTTGCTCTCGGAGGCGGCCAAGGCGCAGCTGACGCGCGCGCTCTGGTGCGCCCCCCCTTCCCCTCCCCCCTCCCCTCCACCACCACACACCACCGCAAAGAGAGAGCCTCCTCACACGTTCTCTGTCCGGCGGGCAGGAACGACACCCTCTTCCTCTCCTCCATCAACGTGATGGACTACTCCCTCCTGGTGGGGATGGTGCAGCGAGCCGGCGCCAGCAACGGCAACGCCGCCGTAGCCTCCGCCGACGCTGCTGCCGAGGCTGCTGCCGACGCTGCTGCCGACGTTGACGCCGACGCCTCCGTCGCCGGCAGCACGGCGCTCGCGGGCGGTGTGGTACCGCTCACAGCGCGCGAGCGAGCAGAGGCGGGCTCGGAGGCGGGTCTTTTGAGCAGCTTGCAGGAGGCGGGCCGCGAGTGGACGCTTGTGGTTGGCCTGATTGACTACTGCCGGCAGCGACCTGCGGAGGCAGGGAGGGTGGCGGGAGCGCTTCCTCACCATTGTCAGCCCCGTTGAGTAGGCAATACACATGGAAGGAGGACGCCGAGTCGCGCATCAAGCGTTCGACGGTCATCCCGCCGAAGCAGTACAAGCGGCGATTCCGCGAGGCGCTCAACCGCTACTTCATGGCGTCGATGGAGAAGTACTCTTGGAGCCGCGAGAGCCACGAGCCATAACGGGAGTTGGGACCGGAGAGAGAAAACACACACACGTACCAATGCAATGTGCGTCTCTTCAATCCGCTACGGGGTGTGGACCGTGAGTTGACCAGGGGTTGTGCGCGCCCGGCTCCCGCCCTCCGAGGATTCGTTACGTTCTTCACGTTTCCTCACCGATGAGCCCCGTGGTGTCGGCGTCGAGGCGTCCGAAAACACCCGGCCAGGCTCTCTTCGCGCGCCCCCCCTTGATGGACACTGAGGATGAACAGGGTGGAAACTTCCATCGACACAGAATGGAATAGAGCCGTACAGCCGGGGAGGCGAGAGGACGAGAAGGATGCGGCACACAAGCGAGATGTGTTGCCGCACAGCATTTCCGGCTTGCGCTCGATACGTTGGCTGGCACCATGGGCATATGCGCGAGCCGTGGTGATTGGCTGGGCACAGAGGCTCGGCGCACGGTGGCACAGCGGCCGCCAACTGCTCGGCACGGAGGCTGAGCAGAATGAGTACAACCGCAACATCAACTTGGGTGCTTGCGGATCTTCTGCGACAGAGCGCATCTCCGCCAGCACTGCGGCTGTGTGGACACGAGTATCCCCTCTTGCTTCTCCTTACCGGTCCGTTCTCCTCGCCTACGGACCACCATCGCAGCTGCTGCCTCCGCTACCAGCTCTCGGGCTGCTGCAACGGCAGTTACCGCAAAGATCTCGCACCGAATGTGGACCCTGCCTTTCGCCGCCGCTACTTCCGACGTCGCCGCTCGACACGACCGGAGCTGTACGCGATGAACACGCGACGATCGACACGCCCTCTCTGCCTTGTGTGGCGATTACCACGTCGTGGGGGAGTGTTGGGCATCTGTTCGACGTGGCAATGCCACTCTACCTCATTGCTGTCTCTTCCTCGTCTCGCCTCCTCGCGCTAGCCCGTCCCGCTGTCCAACGCCTCTGGCAAGAAGTCCAATGCGCCTCTACGAGCGTCTCTGCCGTCTGGACGTCTGAGACTGAGCCTGCCATCTCCGACGTCGGCGGCCCGTGGCGCAACATCAACGTTCGGGGCATTGAAGATCGTCCTCACGTCCCTGATGCGCTCATCCGCGTCAACGCGGCGAGGCCTCCCAACGGCCCAATCGCCGCGCCGCAAGGGGGCGCCCCCGCTGCCGCTCCCGCGCCCGCCGCGCCTGCCGCGCCCGCTCAAGCCGCCGCCCCGCGACGCTCAGCCCGGATTGCAGCTCGCGGCGCGCCATGACCGAGCTCCACAACGAGCTCCTGTTCATTATCTCCCCTTTCTCTCTCTCCGCCCACTCGGCCGCGCTTTGACCCCTTCACTGGATCATCTTAGCGCGCAAGTCTTGCCAACAAGCAAGACCATCCTTCGCGAAGACGCAAGGTTGGACGCTTCGCCAGCCCCGCGAGACGCCGGCGGGTAACCGGCATACCTACGCTCAGACACATTCACACTCTGCTGTTGTTGTCTGCCGCATCCTCACATTCATGAAGACTGCGGAGACAATGGGGGAGTGTTGGAGAGTGTGAACTCAAACCTACTTCCTGACCGTAGCCTGACCGTCCTTGTGTAACCGTGTCTCATGTTTGGTTTGTCCTGCCGCGCACATTGTCATGCTGTTGGGTTTCTCCTGCCGCGCACATTGTCATCGACTTGTATCCGACTTGGTGGTTGTGGTGATGTAGCGATGGTGTGGGTCTCTAGCATTTTTTTGTTTTGTCTCTAGTGACCTATACAGCTCCTCCGTGTTCCGTCTCCTGACAGGCTGTCCCGCACCGGCAAAATTCCATTTTTCTTTGTGAGAGCGCCTTCGTGCCCATCCAATTTTCTTTTTAGTGCGCGGCAGTCCCGTGCCCAGTGTTGTGCGAGGGCGTTTCTTCTAAAATTCTTTTTATACGTATTAGCGGTGTTCGAGGAGGTCCTTCCGCTGGTCGCATCCTCGCCCATATCCTTGACAAGTATGGCGAGCGAGTGGCAGTCTCGTCGAGCGTCGCTCATGACGCGCCGGTCGAGCTGCAAGGTGGCTGTTGACATTAAGCCGGTCGACGTCCCGTCGCCAGAAGAGACAGGCACGCGCTGCCCGCGGCCGCGCGGCATTTGCATCGCAAGCTCGTTCCTCAGCCGGCTGCCGATCGCCGCCTTCCTCACAATCCTGGCCGACGTCACCGCTGCATCCTTTGGGTCGCTGATATTGCCAGCCGCCTTGGGGTTCTCGTCCTCTGCCGGCGTGCACCTGTTCCTTTTGTCCATCATCGTGGGCCAGGCGGCGGCTTGCCTCTTCAGCCGGTTCCCGTACGCCACCGCCGGCGCCACTCTCGAGCTCGTTCCTCTCCTCGTTCCAATCGCCGAACTCATCGACCCTGCGCTGCCCGTCGCCGCTCGCGCCTCTACGCTTATCGCCACCTACTCGATGACGAGCGCACTCGTCGGGACGCTGCACACGTGTGTCGGCCGCTGCAAGCTGGGCGGCATCTTCAGATGCATCCCGCTCATCGTTCTCAAGGCCGCGCTCGGCGGCGTCGGCCTCTTCATGGTTGTGGAAGGCCTCGAGACCGGGTCGGGCGGAGAGATGGAGTGGGGCGCGCTTGTGGGCAATCCAGGCACGCAGATTCGAATCGCGTGCACGCTTGTCCTCATCTGCGCCCTCGCGGCTGTGCAGTGGCTCGTTCGTTCGCCGATTGCCGGCGTCTTGTTCCTCGCCGCCGCCACCCTGCTGGCGCACGCACTGCCCCTCGTCGGCCTGCCCAAGCTGGACCAGCACTGGTGGTTTGGCGGCGGCGGCGAGGGCGGCGGCGAGGGCGGCGACGCCGACGCCGACCCTTCGGCCTCCTCGCCCTTGGGGCTCCTCTCGCAACTCTCGTTCGGGGAGGTGCAGTGGGCGGTGGTCCTCTCGGCTCTCCCCTACTCCCTCTCCTGCTGCCTGGTGCACTCGCTCGTGACCATCACAGACCTCGTCTCGGTCGAGGCGGTCGCGACGGCGCGGCCTGCGTCGCGGCAGGGCGAGACCGAGCGACCGCCGCCCGCGGCCGCCTCCTTCGACCTCGATCGAGAGCTCAGCTCGATCGGCATGGCCAACTTGTTCGCCGCGTGCGTTGGTACCATCCCCAACTACGTGCAGCTATCCCCAAGCGTGGCAAACATGAGCCTGAGTCGCGGCTTGCGCGGTCGTGCGCGCGCGGGCCCGTGGGTCGTCCTCTTTGCCGCCTGCTCCACGCTGGTGGTGTCGGACGTGGCCGCCTCGGTGCCACGCGCGGTCGTTGGCGCCTACATGGCGCACATGGGCATCGGATTCATGGGCGAGGGCTTGGAGACCATCCGGCGCACAAACGACACCGTCGACAAGCTGCTCGTGGTTGTCGTGCCCCTGCTCATGGCGTGCAACTTCTTGTCCGGCCTGCTCTTTGGCCTGATTGTCTCGCTCATCAAGTTCGTCATCATCTACTCGCGCGCGCCCATCGTTCGCGTGCACACCGACGGGCTGCAGTCAAACACGGTGCGGCCCTGGATGCATCGCACGTTTCTGCTCGAGTATGGCGCCGCCAACATCCACATCGTCTCGGTACACGGCTTCCTGATGTTTGGATCTTCGCCCCAGCTCTCGCGGGCGGTGGCTGCCGTCGCCGAGGCGCACAGTGACACCACGTCCGGGGCCACGGCAAAGGGTGAAGCAAGTAGCGCCGACGGACTTGCAGAGGGGTGCGGTGGCGACGAGGCTGCGCCGCCGGTGCCCGTGATGCCGCCCTGGTTTGTGATCCTCGATCTCGCCGCGTGCAAGGGGTGCGACTTTGGCGCGGTGCAGGAGCTCATCAAGCTCTCCGAGACGGTGGCCGACAGAGGCGGCGCGCTGCGCCTCACTCTGCCGCCCGCACACGTGCGAGCCGCCCTCGAGAGCGGATCTCGAGGGTTGCTCGGCCAGCTCGAGGGCCTGCAGCAGACGCTCTGCGAATGCGAGGACGCCATCATCGCCGCGTGCGCACCCGGCGGCTTTCGCCGGAGGTCGCTCCCAACCGTGGTACCTAGCGGCGGCAACTCCACGCGCGACCACGAGACTCTTCTGTGTGCGTGGTATCAAGACACGCTCCTCGAGCCGCACAGCCAACCGACGGACGCGCAGGTGGAGCTGGCGGCGACACTACTTCGGCTGGGCGAGCGGCGGGAGGTTGCCCCCCGAGAGGTGGTGTGGCGGGAGGAGAGTCAGGCGGGTTTCTTCGGCTACGTCCTCGATGGCGAGCTCGAGCTGCTGCACTGCGGCACAAAGATCGAGCTGCTGGTGCCGGGCTCGACCTTTGGCTTCCTCTTTATGATTTGTGGCGCCTACACCGGCGGCAAGCGCGAGACGACGCTTGTCGGAAAGAGCCCGCGCGGCAGTACGCTCCTCCTCATCTCAGAGGAGACCTGGGCGGGCTTACGCCACACCCACCCCGAGCTCGAGCGGCTGATGAAAGACGGCATGCTCCGCAGAGTGGCGCACGAGTACCACGCCTTTGTGCGCCACCACGAGCACCGAGGCACTCCGGAGGGAACGCTGCGTGGCGGGCTGGTGCCCCGCCAGACGCGACAGCGAATCGGAAGGGTCTCATGAGGCTCGCGTGCGCAATCTATGTGATTTGTGCAAAAGGCGTTATTTCTCTCTCTCTCGTTGTAGTACTTTTCGCTTACTGTCTCTCTCTCGTCTCTCTCGTTGTATGTGGCTCTTACGTACATTCCCGTAGGAGGACTCTGCTGACAGGGTTTGCGATGAGGAGCGACCCGAATGGATGAAATTCTTTCTCGAGGGAGTTCCCTCCTCAAATTCTTTGTTTTTGCGCGCCGAGTTTCACTATCTCACCTCTTACGTCCTTTTGCGTGTTGCACGCGCCGAAGCGCCGAGGGGAAGGACTCCAAAGGACATAGCATGCTCACTCTGCTACCCGCCCTCCTCCTCATCTCGCCCGGCGCGAACAATGGAACGTGTGAGCCCTGGTGCAAGTGGATCCCAGTCCCTGTCCAGCCTCTGGTGCCGCTCTGCGCCGGCTGCAGTGAGCAGAGCTCCAAGCGCGGCCTCGATGGGGAAGAGATGTATGCAGATGACCGCTGTGCAAATTGGTGCCAGTGGGTGCCGGTGCCAGTGCAGCCACTTGTGCCGGAATGCGAGGCCTGCGACGGAGCAGAGAAACAGGCTGACGACTGTGCTGGGTGGTGCAAATGGGTGCCGGTGCCGGTCCAACCGACGGTCCCTGGATGCCAAGGCTGTGGCGACGCCGTGGCAGGTCCGCAGGCATTGGCAGTGGCGTAAACCCCGCCGCACCCCAGGCCTGGCTCAGGCGTGACTGTCCAGTGGGGGCCCAGCGGGGGGTGTCCAGCGCTAGAGGCGCCTGTGCGGCGCAGAGAGTCGAGAGGGCGAGTCGGCCTGCGAGCTGTCGCCCTCTCTCGTCTTGCAAGCCTTGATCTGAGGGGGGCCGAGCGAGGTGATGCATTCCTTCAACATTGTCAATCATACTCGAGTAGTTTAGTGCGGGAGGCTAGGAGCCAGGACGGATGTGGAACACTGGCTGACTGGCCGCGAGGCCTCACAGGCCACCGCCAGGCGCGTTGGGCCAGGTACCAATTTTGTCGAATGTATTTCAAAATCTGCAGGCGCGGGGCGCCTGCGAAAATTTTGAAGAAATTTGCAGTCGGGCCTGCTTTCCAAAAAGATCTTTCAAACTCGCGGTGTGGAGTTGGGGGGTGGGTTAGGGTTAGGGTTATTAGGGTCAGGGTTAGGGTTAGGGTTAGGGTTAGGTTAGGGTTAGTTAGGGTCAGGGTCAGGGTTAGTCTTGTTGTGTCTGTATATGCCAGCGTTGCAGGGTTCTGCGCTGGGATCTGGCCCCACAGCGCCGACGACTAAGACGCAGCCCCGCACGCTGACCTAGGGTTAGGGTTAGGGTTAGGGTTGGGGTTAGGGTTGGGGTTATAGGGTTGGGGTAAGGATTAAGCGGTTAGTCTTGTTGTGTCTGTATGCCAGCGTTGCAGAGTTCTGCGCTGGGATCTGGCCCCAGCGCCGACGAGGAAGACTCAGCACCGCACGCTGACCCCACCAAATGCCGCCTCAGGGCGCCAGCCACCTCTTACACGCGGCCGGCGCCCTCTCGCGGCAAAAGGGTCGAGCGAGCGGGCAGAGTCGCGCGATGTCTGCGCACCCGCGTGCCGATGGGCGGCACACGCAACCGAGAGAGGCCCTCTCGCGCCGCCAGTAGCGTTCCGCACTCCTCACGCCACCAAATGCCGCCTCAGGGCGCCAGCCACCTCCTACACGCGGCCGGCGCCCTCTCGCGGCAAAAGGGTCGAGCGAGCGGGAGAGTCGCGCAGGAGTCGCGATGTCTGCGCACCCGCGTGCCGATGGGCGGCACACGCAACCGAGAGAGGCCCTCTCGCGCCGCCAGTAGCGTTCCTCACTCCTCACGCCACCAAATGCCGCCTCAGGGCGCCAGCCACCTCCTACACGCGGCCGGCGCCCTCTCGCAGCAAAAGGGTCGAGCGAGCGGGAGAGTCGCGATTCTGCGCACCCGCGTGCCGATGGGCAACACACGCAGCGGAGAGAGGCCCTCTCGCGCCGCCAGTAGCGTTCCTCACTCCTCACGCCACCAAATGCCGACTCATGTGCGCCTGCGCGTTAGCCGTGTCTCGTGGGGAGGTTAACGCGTCCTGTTGAGTGGTGGGATGTCGTGTGTGGGTGTTCGCCGCCTATATGCTCTATCCTGCGGCAAGACGGACGTGTTTTGACAATCAAAATCTACCTCAAAATTTGCGGCCGGCCCCTCGAAATTTGCTGATCAAAATTTGTGTGGTGGCCCGGATCGAAACCTGTACTTTGGCCAACAGCAACAGGGAACAGCGAACAGGCGCGTGGCGGGAGTCGGAGTGCAAAATGCACGAGCCTGGTGCACGAGTTGACCCACGTACCACGACCCGCACGAGCGAGCAACAGCATCAGCTTCAGCAACCGAAGCGGCTGGTACGGTTTTCTATGTCGTTGTGCAATATAATAGTGAACTAAGAGAAAACGAGCGCGGAGCCGCGGACACGCCGTTCACAGCACACACGCAACCGATTGCACCTCGGGGAGGACGCCATGAATGATCAAGGCGGGCGGAACACGCCACGAGCATGCGACTAGATGCAGGAGAAGACAAGGAGATCTTACGCGACCTCACGGTTGTTAACTGGGTTGGGTCCACACCTCGCAGTGATCGGATCAAGCGCCGGCCCGAGCAGTCACCGCCGCGCGCTCCGCCTCGTGCTGCTCGAGCACGGCGCGCGCTCGCGAGTCGCCGCCGCTCGCCAGCGCCCGCAGCTTGAAGAGCGCCTCCTCCTCGCGCGCCTTTGCTTCGGAGAGAAGCTGATCGCAGGTCGCGGCCGCGCTCTCGTCGCCGCCCTCGGCGGCCCGGCGGAGCATCTCGGCGCCCTCCGCAGCCCGCCCCAGCTCGAGGAGGAGGAGGCCGAGGTTGCGCTGGGCGCCCGCGTCGCCGCCGTCGGCGCCCACCCGCAGGTACACCTCCGCCGCGGCCACGTCCTTCTGCAAGCCAAACGCTCCGACCGCGAGCGCCGAGCCGAAGTCCCCTGCCGCCATGAATCGGCGCGGGTCGCCGGGGTCCTCCGCGACGCGCCGCGTCGCCGCGATCTGCTCCGCCTCTTCCTCCTCGGCGCGGCGCCCGGCCGGCTTGCCGGCAGCGGCGGTGGCCGCCTCAGCGTCAAGCTCGGTGGCCGGGGCATGCGCGCAGCGCGCGGGCGCACACGCGGCGGCGTTCCTCGAGCAGCGTGAAGGAAGCGTCGAGCGCCGCGAGGAGGCGCAGGTGGCCCTTGGGCCAGTCAGGCCGAGCACATGTGCAGTGCTCTGCGTCCTCTGCCGCCGCCGGAGCGTCCTCTTGCTTGAGCAGCGTGAGCGAGCGGTTGGAGAGCAGCGCGTGGAGCACACCGCCGCTCTTGGCGTCCAGCGCGAACCAATCTGCGCCACTCGCCGGCGGCGCCTCGCCCTCGAGGACCAAGTCGATGGCCATCGTGTACATATGAGTCGCGCGGACGATGTCGCCTGCGGCGAGGGCCTCCCCGCCCGCGTCCTTGAGGGCGGAGGGCGAGTGCGCGGCGACGGAGCCTTGGCCGGAGATCTTGGTGTGGGAGGCAGCGCAGGCGCAGGGCGAGTGCGCGGCGACGGAGCCTTGGCCGGAGATCTTGGTGTGGGAGGCAGCGCAGGCAGCGACCGGCATCGGCTTGGGAGCGAGGGGGGGGGCGGGGGCGGCTCCGAAGGCGGGAAAATGCACCTGTACAAGATGTGTACCCCAGTATCGTAGTCTTTGTAGTACTAGCAGGTTGGCTCGCTAGTCGCTCGCCGGCCCGCGCAGCACGCGCGGGCCTTTTTTGTGGTCGGATGTTGGTCGTCTCGAATTTGATCGTGGGCAGGGCGTGAGAAAGCTGGACGGCTCGGTCGATGCGAGCCACCAGCTCGTGGAGCGACGGGCGCGACGGGTTCCTCGGCGTAGGCTTGGGCGTGGTGAGCAGCGCCGGCGAGAGAGGGACGGCATGCGGCTCCCAAACGAGCCGCACGGGCTTCATCTGGGCCGCCGAGGCCACCTCCTTGGTCGCGGTGGCGGGCGTGAAGGCGAGGTGGGCCGAGGCAAGCGCTGAACGTGCCGTGCCGCCTTGCGCCCCTGAGGAGGGACGAGTGTGTGGGGTGCCACGGGCGGGGGGGAGCGGTGAGAGGAGAGCGGTGGGCACCCCCACGAGGGGCTGCGCTGACGCCGCCTGCCACCCCACGCACGCCACTGACGCTGTGGGGGCGGCACGATCGAACGCGCTGGTCGGGCGGGCCGTCTGAGTCGCCCAAGCGGTGCTCTGCCGGCCGGTGGACGCGAGGGTGGCCCAAGAGGGCTCAAAGTACGGAGCCGATACCCGGCCGTCCCGGACGCCTGGCACGCGGGCCAATGGTCCAGCCGTCCTGTGCATGGCTGGAGCGAAGGAGGGAGAGCTCAGGAGGGCGACGGGGCAGGGAAGGGGGCGATGCGATGCGGCGAGGTCTAATCGGCGGCATGGAGAGAGGAGGTGCCAAAAGGCGACTATAGAGAGGCCTCTACGGGTGATATAGTGCGCCATGCCGGCGGGAGAGGTCTCTCACCGCCCCCCGGGCCGTCTCGAAGGGCCGTGCAGCCCACGCCACGAGGCGCTGCTGGCGGGAGCCTGGAAGGACTTGGCCTCGTTGCACCGCGCCGCGTTGATTCGCGACCACCGTCGGCCGCGGACGGCGTCGGCGTGGCGGCCGCGGGCGCTCGCGAGACGCGCCGCTCTGCGCTGGTTCGGTTCGTTCGACTCGTTGTGCCGCCGCACGCCCGGCGGCCGCGGGTCCCAGAAGTGGTTGCGCGGGCCTCTTCCTTTCGGCCGCGGGACGGCGTCGGGCACGTCGTCGGTCGCAACAGCGGCGCGGCGAGCCGCGGCACGTCGTTGCTGGCGCTGGTGGTTTGAGGTCGGCATCGTCCAGAGCTCGGTCGACGAGTCTAGAGCTTCAGCTGGTCGGGTGCCATGTTTGTGCGGAAAGTGGCACATATATCTCTTTGATCGAGGTCTCGCGAGTTTTGGGGGTTCTCGGCGCCGCGACAGCGCTGCGAGCAGCGCGATGCCACGGCGCTCGGCCTGCTGAGAGAAGACCTTCCCGGACGGCAGTGACAGTTTACCCGACATCAATCGTCGACGGCAAGCTCGAGAACTGCGCCTCCAAAGTCGCCCAGATTTGCCTCTCGCGGCGCGCTGAGTTAGTATCGCCGGTGCGCCAGCAGGCTCTGCTCCACAGCAGGGCATGCCCGACTGGCTCCTGCTAGCCGTGCGTCCTGGTGGCATCCATTGCCAGCCCAGGTAGCCCCAGGAGGTCGCCTCGCGCACGACGCGGCGTCGCACAGCACCGCTCAGCGTTACTACCGAGTTAGTATCGTCGACCCACAGAGACTGCTCTTCTGTAGGTGGAGCCGACAAACGCCGGCCGGGTCGGCCCCGCCGCCCCCATCGCCGCCGCCGGGGCGGCGGCGGCCTCGGCGGACCATCCGGCGCGCCGCGCGCCCGTCAGGGAGGTGTTCACCACCCCTGGCTCCTCACCCCGCCACGCCTTCGTGCGGACGCCGTGGCACCCACCTCAGGCGCCGCTCGGACTCGGTTGACGGCCACCCAAGTGCTTGGCTCGTGCCAAGCCGACCGGCAGGCGATTCCCACTCACTGCTAGGCTAATCTCGGGCTGTCCGGCGTCAGTGTGGTGCCGTGAGGGGCGCCGCCCCCAAAACTACGACCATTAGTACCGTGCGGGGGCAGTGCATTTAATTCTGTCAAAAATCCAAATCTGCTCCGTGGAGCTTATTGGGCTAGGATCATACGTCCGGGAGGCCCCCCATGCGTGCCGTAACGATCGACAGCGATCTGGCTACTCTGTTCACGTTCACACCTCGTAAACCCCCCATAACCCCGATAGAGGGGGTACCTCTCCTTCTTTTCTCCACCGACTCGGTCTGGGCGTGGCCGACGCTCCTCTCTCACCCTGTCCCGGCAGCTCTCCACCTCCGCCCACGACGCCGCTCGACGACTGCTCGGCGTTGCGGCGGATGCCTCCCCAGAGGACCTCAAGGCGGCGTACCGAGCAAAGGCGCTCACGCATCATCCCGACCGCCACTTGGGTGAGGAGCGCGCACGCGCGGAGCGGCACTTTAAAGAGGTCGGAGAGGCTCGAGGAGGCGTGCAGAGGACCTCTCCCCAGCGGAGGCCGAGGTGCGCACTTGAGCATCTTCGGTCGCTCTCTTCGCGCCTCACCACGCTCGACTCTCTCGCCCCGGCAGCGGATCGATCGTCCGCGTCCCGCGCGCCGGCGGCGACGCGGCGTGGCAGCTCCCCGAAGGCACAGGGAGCCTGGGTCAGTCGTCTCATCCTTGCCTTGGAGGCGGCGCGTATAGGGGCTCGCGTGGCGCGTGCCGGGGAGGAGCCGGCCGCGCGACGCCGAGGCGGCACCGCGCTGGCAGCAGTACCAGTCGGCGCTGCTCGAGTCTGGCGGCGTCGCGAACTGGGGAGCAGAGACCCGCGCCCTCTACCGCGCCTGCCTGCGCGCGCTGCGAGGCGCCGACGAGGGGACGGCGGCGGCCGTGCGGCAGCACGCGCGCGCCAACATCGCGCAGCATGCGGGCGCGGGAGGGGGTGTGCGCTGTCGGGAGCGGCAGGTTTGTGATGGGCTGTGTTGCAATAGGCGAGACCGACGGACGCACTTTGCGCGGGCTCGTCGGCCGGCGGGGAGAGGCGGCGGTCTGTGGCGCTCCTTTGAGCACGAGCCCGACGGTGGTGCACTGTTAGGCTGCTCGTCGGCGGGCGGCATGACCTCGAGGAGCTCTGCCGCTGCCTCGGCTCGGCGCGGGTCGGCGAGGAGACGAGAGGGGACGGGTGATCTCAGTAGAGAGCCATAGAGCGCCGGTCCCGTCTTGGGTCTGCGTCTCCTCGAGAGCGCTAGCAACAGGCTCGAGGCTCCACGCACCGTAACACGTTGCTGTATTGGGACACGCGGTACGTTCGAGTGTCGTGTGCGTGTGTTTCGCCCCCAGGCGACGGGCGAGTGCGCGCCTGGGGGAATTTTCGGAAAATTCTTGGTACGAGTCCGGACGGTTTCAAGGTGCGTGTGTGGTACGAAAAGGGAAAAGGGGGTGTGTTACGCACATGTCCGGTGCCTCGAACGAGCACAGCAAGCGCCTGGATCGTTCGTGAGCACGTCTGTCAATCTCTCAATAACGGTGCAAACGCGCAAAACGGTAACCATATATCTCAAAGTGATACCCCACCCCGCGTGTCAGACCTGGCACCCCACAAGCGCGTGTGTCCGAATCGCGCGGCAATGGCGTCCGCCGCCTGCAAGCGCGCCCGCACCGGCGGCGGTGAGGAGGACGAGGAGCCCGTGCCGGTCGCGGATGGCTTCGAGGCGCCCATCTTTGGCGCGCGCGTCGTCGGACAGGTCTCCACGCTCACGCTCGAGGGCGAGGACGGCCCTCTGGCATCGCTCGCTCGCGTCGCGAGCGACCACGCGGGCGCCTGGTACGTCGCGACGAAGGACTCGCTGCTGCACGTCTCGACGGCCGGGCGCGTGCGCCGCGTTGCAGCCTTGCCGGCAGGAGACTCCTACACCGTTGCTGCCAGCCCGGACGGGGGCGCGGCATTTGTGGCGGACTACAGCCGCAATGAGATCCGGCGGGTGGAGGTGGCGACTGGCGAGGTGGCCACGCTCGCGGGCAGCGGCGAGGAGGGCGCCGCTGATGGCGTGGGCGACGCGGCGCAGTTCAGCCGTCCAGCTGGCATCGCCATCAGCCCAGACGGGAGCGCACTGTTTGTGGCAGACTTCCGTCAACCACAAGATCCGGCGGGTGGAGGTGGCGACTGGCGCTGTGACCACGCTCGCGGGCAGTGGCGAGGATGGCGACGCGGACGGCGTGGGCGACGCGGCGGAGTTCTGCGGCCCACGTGGCCTTGCCCTCAGCCCGGACGGCGGCGCGCTGTTTGTGTCGGACCTCTTCAATCACAAGATCCGGCGGGTTGAGGTGGCGACGGGCGCTGTGACAACGGTCGCGGGCAGTAGCACCAGGGGCAGCGCCGATGGCGTGGGCGACGCGGCGGAGTTCTACTGCCCAACTGGCATCGCCATCAGCCCAGACGGCGGCGCGCTGTTTGTGGCGGACTATATGAACAACAAGATCCGGCGGGTTGAGGTGGCGACGGGGGAGGTGACGACGATCGCGGGCAGCGGCACCAGTGGCAGCACTGATGGCGTGGGCGACGCGGCGGACTTCGCCAGCCCAGATGAAGTCGCCATCAGCTCCGACGTCAGAGCGCTGTTGGTCAGTTCGAGAGATGGCCGCCTCCGCCAGGTCTGCGTGGCGGCGCCTCCTCCGCCTCCCTCCTTTGCCCCGATCGTCGTTCCGCCTTCGACCCTTGGAGCTGACTTCGCAAAGACGCGGGGCGACGCTTCCCTCCCGGAGGGGAAAGTCACCTTCCTGGTCGGCGACGACGAGGAGCGCATCGAGCACGTGAGCAAGTGCGTCCTATGCGCCCGTCCCCGGTCTTTCGGACCATGTTTGGCATCGGCATGAAGGAGCGCGACGCCGCCGAGGTCACGGTGTCCCACACCGCCCTCGCCAGCTTCACCGCCCTCGTCGACTACCTCCTCTCCGACAAGTTCGACCTCGGTGAGGAGGAGGGCGGCAGG